CTCACTTAAGGGACTTGCATCCTTCTCCTGCTGCCTCACAAACACAGGCTATCTCATCCAAGGGTAGGGAGACTTATGCTGTCACTTGTAAAATACTAAAAAGGCAAGTCATTGTAGACTTACTAGTAAACAAGCATCAGGAAGTCTGAGTGGTGTCCAAACACTTCAGGGCATCCATTATTAACTGCTGTTAAGAGTCACCTTGACCAACACAGGTCTCATTTAAGGATGGATATGCAAGTATTCACCCAACACACATACAGCAATGCAGACAGCACCCCACCCACAGAACTCATCAGAACAGATACAAAGTAGCAGCTCTGACTGAACCAAAATGCAGGGAGTGAAACAACTGGGAAAACAGATGCTTAATTCCTACTTATTTTTGGCAACCTTGTTCCTGTGATATCTGTGAGATGAGGGAAAAAAAGCTGCTGAATGCTGTTTAGTAAGTAATACATGAATCACAGCCACATCTCTGGACTATCAGGATAGCACTTCATACAGTCCTACTCCAAGTTCTTTTTCTTTTGATCCATCTGTAGAAGGGTCTAAAGTAGCGTTTCCATATGGTTTTTACTCCTCTTATGCAAGATCTTGTGAACTACATAGTTCACCAAAGGGCTGAAGTGAACTGGTGTCTTCAGCTTGGTAGTGCTTTAAGAAGTGTCTTCACCCCACCTCGTCAGCCTTTGGACAGGAGATCTGTTAGCCAATTACTCTGCAAACTGAAATGTAAATGAAATGCTACATCCTAACATACGTTAATAGCCCCAGGAGCAAGAATTTAGTTAACTTTAGTGGACTGTAATTCTATCCAAAAATATAGTTTATTAACAAGCACATACAGTAAATTGCAACTGCTAACTTTAAATAAGACATCTAGCAAGCTCACCTTCCCACTAAGTGACACTTGGTTAATACAGAGCAAAAAAGCAATACACATATGCTGTCAACAGACACAGAACAAACTCAGTGGCAACCCAAGTTCAAGGTGTAATCCAAAGAAGGGCACATAAAAGCGAAAGCAATGAAGACTTCACATGAACCTTTGCAGTTCCTTTCCACCAGACCTTTGGTCTCTTACAAAATAGGTCTGTAATACAAAAAGTAATAAAAACTCTGGATTCAATTTACTCAGCCTCGTCCGTCACAAGATAACTGTAATGTTTGGGAACAACGTGAGTCGTATTAAGAGGGAGGTAAGAGGCAAAGATAGTCATATCTTGGAATTACTTAAGTTCAGCAGCAGAAGAAAGGCTGCCTAGCAGCAGGCATGGATTTCAGTGTCACTATCCCAGTTTTTTCAAGAAATATAAAGATGGTAGAACAAATTCTTCTCTCTCATCAGTTAAAACTTGATTCATCCTCCACTGACATCAACGCAAAAGTTCTTCTGTTACAAGTGGTACTGATGGGGCCGCAGTGGCCTTCAAAAAAAAGTCATCCTCTCTAGTGAAAGGTTTGTCACGCTCCAGTCTTCAGCTTGGCTGTGATGTCAGTAAAACCTGACACGCTGCTACCACACGGGTGTTAGAAGAGTCTCGTCCTCCCTTCATGCCAGCAAAGGGGATTCAGCAGAATTCGATATGTAAGAATGGAAGGCAGCTTGGCAGTGAACAGCTCCGCCCTGCCCAGCGCCAGACCCTAACCTCGCAACGAAGTAAAGAGGAGGTTTGTAATGAACTTCACGAGCCCAAGAGAAGCACCAGGCTGAACCAGAAGAATGCACACGTCTTGATCTCAGACCTCGTTCTTTGCACAAGAAAGGGCATTTGTATTTCTGATCCTCTGGGGGAGTAACAGGAAGGTTCCCAAGAATAGTGCTCCAAAGGTAATGGGTGTCCATAGCAAAACCACTCAAGCAGGTATTTTTAAACAAAGCCAGCAATTTCTCTGTTTCCTTTGTGGCAGAACAAAAACTTCTCTCTATAATATGACAGGGATCCTACTGCTTTAACATGGTACCTTTTATCATGACAAACAAAAATAATGCCTGTGCTCCCTTTATGTCATTAGGAGTTAATCTTCACTCGGAAAATTTTTTACAGCAGTATCAATGGTTTAAAGATTTGTGACATAGTCTCATTTCCCTCCTGCACCTTCCTCTTTACAATGCCTAGGAAAAAAACAGCCAGAAACAACTGCTCTCACAACTTCTGCAAAGAGTTAAGATCTACTCTTATGACAAAAAATCCTTTAAAAATGGTCATTTCTTTCAACTGCTGGAACTAGATTTTTTTTGCAGTACAAGGAAAAATTTCTCTCAATGAACTAACATGATGAAAAGCAAACAATCAAATACTACCTAGAAATAAACATTTTAAGAAGTGCAAGCATTGTGACATCTCCTACTGGAAAACCAAGTGATGCACAGTTCAATCAGCAACGAGCTCCTTCTCTCCTTCACAACCTGCATAGCTGGCTCCCATGTTAGCTAGTTATGAAATACTCCTACAGCAGAACAACTTTAGGAACATTTGGAGAAGGGAGAACAGCATTATTTGAATCTAGAACAGTATCATCCAAAGCTACTGATGAATACAAACACTTTTAGTATAATTTTTTTTTTAATTAAAACACTAATTTAACCTGTGTTTTCAGTCTATAGATTGGCTTTCCTCTTCCTTGTTTAATAAAAATAGGGTATCACATGTCAGCTTCAATTGCATGTTTAAGTCATTCCTTCATTGAACTTTCCATTCTTGAAATATCATTTATTAAAATGTTAGTTCAGATTCATGTTGCTTATAGAACAGACTGCAATTTCTTCTTAACTGCATCTGTAGACAATAATAAACAGACTGATAGGAACTCAAAAAAATAATCTGATTATGGGAAGAAGAGAGAAAATTTTTTCAAAAAATAAAAATAAAATCAAGCTCCATTAATTCCTAATAAAACAAACACCAATGCCTTTTAGCTGATCGAAAGATTTAAGTCCAAAATAATATTCCCAGATTCAATTCAGAAATAAACTGTGTTTTAAAGCAAGCTGTTGTAAAAAGAGGAAAAATAAGCTTCCAACAAAATATCTCCTTCAAAGACAGAGGAAGCCACAGTAAAAATAGTACCAAAAAATCTTTATCAGTGTATCATATCAAAAATTAACATGTGTAGCACTACCATAGTTCTCTTCTCCACTTGAAAAAATGGATTCTGTACTACACTTACACATTTCTGATATAGGTGTGATTGTACATGGGCAATTTCCATCTCAGCTGCGTGGTACTGAGGGGAATAAAAAAGCAGAAGAATTTTGCTGCTTCGGTGGTAAACCCCAGTGGGTGGGGAGGCAAGTTGGGGGTACCAATATTGAAACTAATCAGTGAAATGACAGAGTCAGAAATCCAATGGTACAAAGCCTGCTTGGACATGGCTCTTTCCCCTACTGCTAAACAGATTTAATAAATGGGATTTATTTTAGAAAGTTTCACAATTCTTAAACAGTAGATGATACTTGCATTCCTGAAGGATTAAGTTCTACATTTCTTAATGCTAATTCAACTCTCTAAAACCAACCCAATAAAACCAGCAAAGCTTTCACAAGTAATATGCACAACCTAAAAATTCCACCCTCAAAACTGCCTTTTTGGTACTCTCTTAAGCTCTTAAGATACTCTATTTATTGAAGAGATGCCAGGAAGCCTGCAGCGGGAACAAATGCTTCTTTGGCAAAAGGAAAACATTTTAATGCCTCCTCCCTTCAAAGTATGCACACCTCACCACAACATATGCTAATATACTACCAAATAAGTCTCTTTATCTTGCCATTTTTATAACAAGCTGTTTCATTCATATCTATTTCAGCCTGTAACTACCTACTGCACAGAGCAGCATACTGTGCTAAATCAACAAGTTGTTTATGCCTAAGAAATAGGAAGTAAAAAAAGAGAAAACATTATATTAAAAACTAATAATATATTCCAAAACAAGTCAAGTGGGGTTAGTTTTTTATGAACTGTTTCAGGAGTAAAATTAAAATTTTAAGTCAAGCAGGCATTTTGGGCCTTTTTTTCCATCCTTTATTTAAAATGAACAAGATCTAACAAAAAAAAGATTCCCACAAATATGATAGCAAGTGGAAATTTGTGCTACATCTGCCATTAATATATGAAAACAAATGTTACAGCCCTTCTGTGAAGATATCTATATATGCATAAACATCTATGCATGGAGATACACATCCTTCCCCCTGGATTTCCAGCCTTCTCCAAGGCACACACCCCACTGACGCTTTCATAATCAGCCAAATAGTGAATCTAGAACAATATGAAGACCAACTCCTTGCAGATCTACAGTCTGCAACTGTAAATGTATAATAAATATAGGCAAATATTTACTATCTTATTACTAGTTTTTCTCAAGTGAAGTTGATACTTAAAGTTGTGTTCTTCCTGAAGACCTCCAAGAAGCAAAAGGAGATGTGCTTTTAAAAATGAAAGACTCAGGCAATGAATATAAAGAAAATACACCCTCAAACATGCTGGAGCAAGACCACTTAGTGCAGGCATCAGTACCAGCCTTCTTTACTGTAACAGGATCTTTAGTCTCCAGACATGTCCTAGATACTCAAATTAAATCAGTGTGGCTTCTAATGATACCAGAAAGAAAGATCTGCTTTTAATATGTCCATTTAAGTACCACAGTTAACTGCCAAAGACTTGCTATACAACTGAGATAACTCTGCTGGGGAAATTATTAAGATGAGAAGGGAAAAGATCAAGCAGAATTCTATGGGAAAATCACAGGGATCTATTAAAGGTTTCTGTAGGCTTATACACCTGAATCCAGCTGTAAGGTTGAAGAGGATGTGGGGGAGCTAAGTGAAAAGTCCTTTGTCATAACTGAACCTTTTCTTTTTTTCTTCCTGTTAGAGGAATGAAAACAGCCTGAAATGATGCAATGGGTCAACCTGGAGACAGCCACATTTGAAAAATACTGGAAATCCTGAAGTCAGAGCTTGTGAATTTGTTTGGTTTGTATCCTGTCTTGGAGAAGAGAGGAGTTAATACTTTTAAAAGCTTGGTATTTACACTTCCAAAAAGTTTCTGCAGTTCCTCCAGACTTGATAGGGCAGGATCTAAGTGCCTCTTAGTGCTCCCAACCGGGCACTTCTGCTGCTTTGGCACAGGCCGAGTATTCCAGTACCAACGGGAACGACGTCTAACGCAGCTTTAAACTGGCAGCACTCCTCAGTAGTCTGAAATGTTTATCAACTCAGTAGGTCAAAAGTCTGCAGACACTGGGTGGAGCAGCAGTATGCCACAAAACTAACAGTTGTCCTCCTAGGGAAAAAAGAAAAAATAAAGGGGGGGGGAAAACAGTTTTCAGTACCGGTTAAAGCTCCTGGCCCCGTTCCACAGCAGACAATATGCTGGTTTGTGACACACAGGGTGAGCTGATCTCCACACTTCACAAAAAGAAGGTTCATTTGCTCTGTATGAGTGCCTGATACAAAGGCAGGGTGACACTGCAGGGGTTCTCCAAAACCTTCCTGGCTTCTTATGTGTTCAGTTTAAAGCAGCAGCATGTGGTTTTTCTTTCTGTGGAGGGTGTGGCTGAGTGTGAAGGCCAGTAGGTTTAACAGCTAAAAGGAAAATAGCTGGGTAATTCTTTGCTTCAGCTTTGCTCATGTGTTTCTTAAATGACTGCTTGTAGGCACGAAATAACTGAAGCCCAGTGTCTTCCTTTGGTTCAGCTGAGTGAATAAACTGCGCCTGGATTTTCAGAAAGGACAACTGACAGGCAGTGCTGTCACATTGTGCCAGGGACTACAGCTGGGGTGGCAACATGAAAGTGTGATACTAGCCTGACTGTGCTCACTGTGACCCTCCTCTTGCCCCCTTCCTGGTAGGGACCTAGATATCTGCTTTTAAAATGTTAAGGCCTGCTTTTTACTAACCCAGAAATCACACTTCACCCAGTGCTCATGTCACCTGTGCTTTTTCAGATACAGAAATCCAGTTCAACACTCAACTGCCATTTCTTGTAAGAGGATACAGAACGTGACATGGAAATCCAGACTGAAGTTACTGGCATGGACGTGGCATGTGCTAATCAGTGCTGTTCAAATGTTCAGGACCCCTGCCCTGTGTGTTCTCATGGTCACTGGAAGCTCTTTAGCAGAGAAACGCTGTCCTTCACGTCTTTCTAAACCAGCTATCACACCTCCACAATCCCACATAATGTTACCATGTCAAGTGCCCAAGCTACAGAGATAAGGATGACAGGCTACCCTGTTTAGATCTCCTTTTCTGTGGATTTGCATCAAATGTCAGCTACTTAAGATTGTACTCATCAAGGCATTTTGCAGAACACAGGACATTCTTGTCTAAGGGAGGGAATGATAACCAGTTTTTAAAAAAGTGAAAACCATGCAGAATTATCTATTTTCAAGTAATATATTTTAGATAGTTAATATAGTGTTCTACCAATAATAGCCTCAAAGTATGTTTTAATTAATTCCTAAAGGTGTCTATCATGTTCTAAGTTCTACAAAGAGCAACTCTTAGCAATCAATTAGAAAGTACAACTCTCTGCTGTAGTCCAAACTCTCCCATTGTTCGATTATTTCAGATAATATAAGGAATCAATGACCAACAAGTAATTTTCCCTCACTTTCTAAAAAAAATTAAGCTGTTCAATGCTTGAGAGAAATTCTTTATGGCATGATTATAACATCTTATGCCACTCAATATTAAGAATGTAAAGTGGAAGTAATTTATTTTACTCAACATGGAATGCATTGAATTTCACCATAGGACTGAAGCGTAACAGAATGGCAAGCTCAAGTACACAATCTCTACAAGGAGATATTTCTAAGAAAGATGACTTCTCCAAAATAGCATTTATGCAGCCTTCTGGCTGCTATCCAGATTTGGCATACTTAAATTGTTCTCAAAGTTGAACTGGTTACAAATCAGATACCTTGTTTGCCACAAACACAGCAAAATAACCTGTGGTATAGCTGTGGAAAATAGGTACCATCACCCTGAAGCACCAATTAGTCTCTTCTTTTTTCTCAAGTATCTTTCCATTGAAAAGCAGTTTCTTATTTTTATGGAAGATAACTACCAAATTTCAGTAGGACAAGAACTAAGTGGCATTCTCGGGTATTATATATACCAACAAGTAACTTCAGAAGCATTCCTTTTTAAAGCTCTTTAAAAAAAAAAAAAAAAAGCTTTTCTAAAAAAACTTCTTAAAGCTTTCTTTCCTGCTCCTCAACTTTAGGCATGTGCTTTGTAACCAATGCCTTGCCTGAACTCTGTAAAACGAATCTGAACATCGCATTTGCTTGTTTAACACCAAGTGACATTGCTTTAAACCTTCTTTATTAGGTTTCAAACAGTATTGTACTTTTGTCCAAGTAGACTCAGTTGAAATTTCTCTGCTGATGCTTTTCCATTATAGAAAGTGGTTTTGTGGCTCATAGCAGGCTATTGTATCTTCTGA